ATTAACTGTATACTTCAATATGATCATAATGTGTATTGTTTTTTTTTTTCATTCATGTCTGATGATTTATATAATGTATCTATCCACATGTCATTATGAATATTGATACACCTTTTTTTTTAATTCAATTTAAGTTGAAGGCATACAAACATTTTATGTCAATGTTGAAGCCTTTTGCCATTTCTCTTATTAATCCATAAAATGAGAAAAACGTCACCTCATTCCTTGAAATTCCATAATGTATGGCATTTTTACCAAATCCCATTTTTACAATTGTAAAAGTGTATTGCTTATATTGTAACAACTTGCTGCTTATATTGTAGCAATCTGTTGCAGGTGCGGTAATTGATTGATATGTTAGTCTTAGAAAACATAGTTTATTTATAAGTGGAAATTGGTCTTAGAACTAGCATTCAGCAACTGCGAGTATTCATAGGTCGCTACCTTATGTCTGTTGTCATTTTGTTATTTTTTTTTTTGTGCTAAGTACCGGTCTGATGAGTCATGCCCTTTAAATCCAGCTGATTTTTACAGTTTGTTCTTATGTTTTGAAGTTATACCACTCGTCCCGGGTTAGGGGGTTGAGCTCAAAAACATACCTAATTCCGCCACATGTATGTGCCTGTCGTAAATCAATGTTATTCAGTGGTTGTCGTTGGTTGCTGCCTGTCATAATTGTATTTCGTTTAACACAAATCCGGCCGTTATTTTATATTTTTAATAGCTTACTTCATGTACGTTATTGGTTTTTCTCATCGATGAATTCTTTACCATAACCTATAGTTGTATATATCTTTGTCGTTTGGTCTCCGGTGGACAATAGTTGTCTCATTGGCAATCATATCACATCTCATTATAGTATACCAATGTAACATATACTTGTTTGTCAAATTACAACACATTGCCAACGAACAATATCTCATAAGTGTATGAAAAGATTTAATTATTTCATTCTTTATAATTTTGATTATGCCTTTATACCAAATTTGTTTTTCAAATTAAACCATTAAATACTTTCATGATGCATCTTTTCATAGAACAAAGATGTTGATTATAAGAAAACAAAATGAATGAATCAGTATAAACATAAACATTTAAAGATGGGTAAATAGTTCATACTGATCACGATTTCGTGTGGTGCATGGCCATAGGGATAAACAGATTTACCTAACATGTCATCTAATGGTATATAATGACCACTAGCTACCTACGGGTTGTATTCCAGATTTGGACAAAACAAGGTAAGATATCCCAAAAAGTAAATTCATATATATATTTATATATATATATATATTTAAATTATTGTTCATAGATTACACATTTTTAAATAGATACAAATCAAAACACATTTTTCCAATGTTTTTCAATAAGAATTTTAAAGTGAAAATAGTTTTTCACAATTTAAAAGTCTTGTTTAGTCCTGGAACGGTTTGGAATGTCGTTGTTCTGCCTGCAGATAACTCTTGAGCTGTTCATTATTCATGTTACTTTTTGTTGCTTTGGACTAGTATTGATGTATTTCTTCACGAATTTTTATATATTTAAATTTTAATTTCTGACACATATTCCCAGAAATTGGATAATCAATTCATGTTGAAAATATTCTGTTCTTTGAAATTTCTAGATCTCAAAGCATGTACTATAGTTCTAAACTTTTTATTTGAATTTTAAAAGTAATCTGTTTATTTAAATAGTTACCATATTTTTAATCTAAATTTTAAACTTTAATGTAGGTAAAAAATGTTTTACTTCATTCTAAATTTGTTGCTAAATTTTTTATTGCATGCTATGTATGTAAGGTTCAACTCTGTATTACAGGTTGTTGTATGTGTTTAATTGGACTGTTTTTATATTCGGTCAAAAGCTCCTTAGAACTTGTGTTTGTATTTTAACTTGTGCCGAATCAAAATAACTTTTTCTTATCTTATCTTATAAAGTGGTACCCGGACCAACATTAAACAAAAAACGGAAAAGCTAAAAAGAAAAAAAGCCTTGAAGAATAAGAACATTTTCGATTAAAAAATATGTCCTACCGCATTGATATTTTCGTTCTGTGAAAATTACGACGAAACATTTTTCCATGTAATACTAGTTCGACATGAAAGAAAATACATTTATCATTTATACCAAAATCACTGTTTCACGTAAATGCATAACACCGTTTACGCCGAAAACTTCATACATGTATATATATATAAAAGTCTTCATAGGTTTTCTGTTTAGTATTAAATTTATAATTAAGATCCATTTATTACATCAGTGATCCGTTTATTTGGCAATCGCCAATGGCAGTCAGCAGGGTTTAAGAACATTTGTTGTTCGACCTGTTAGTCAAATGCGTTTTGTTAAAATATACTTTTTCACTTTTTTGGTCTTTTGGAAAATGTTGTTTGTGCTGTATTTAGACCCCTCTAACAAGAAATTTGTTTTGCATGCACACGTATAAAAATTGCGGTTTTTATCCAACGCAATCATAGGTTTGAACGTTGTTTTCAATTTAGACTTTTTATATTATTTCGTTTGGGCTTGTATTATATTTGCCTTTGGGTTTATATGATCCGTTCATCCTATTTTGACTCCTCAAAATTCAAGTCTTTCCTAAATTGAGGTAAATTGTATGGCTTTCCAAATACCGTTTCGATTCCTAACATCACTGAAGAGACATTAATTGTCGAAATCCGGATATGGTGTACAAAAACCTTTGCACCCTTTGTTTGCGGTATATAATCTTTTCCGCAAGTTTATTGTTTTCTGTTTAGTATTAAATTTATAATTAAGATCCATTTATTACATCGGTGATCCATTTATTTGGCAATCGCCAATGGCAGTCAGCAGGATTTAAGAACATTTGTTGTTCGACCTGTTAGTCCGGCAAATGCGTTTTGTTTAAATATACTTTTTCACTTTTTTGGTCTTTTGGAAAATGTTGTTTGTGCTGTATTTAGACCCCTCTAACAAGAAATTTGATTGCATGCACACGTATAAAAATTGCGGTTTTTATCCAACGCAATCATAGGTTTGAACGTTGTTTTCAATTTAGACTTGTTTATATTATTTCGTTTGGGCTTGTATTATATTTGCCTTTGGGTTTATATGATCCGTTCATCCTATTTTGACTCCTCAAAATTCAAGTCTTTCCTAAATTGAGGTAAATTGTATGGCTTTCCAAATACCGTTTCGATTCCTAACATCACTGAAGAGACATTAATTGTCGAAATCCGGATATGGTGTACAAAAACCTTTGCACCCTTTGTTTGCGGTATATAATCTTTTCCGCAAGTTTATTGTTTTCTGTTTAGTATTAAATTTATAATTAAGATCCATTTATTACATCGGTGATCCATTTATTTGGCAATCGCCAATGGCAGTCAGCAGGATTTAAGAACATTTGTTGTTCGACCTGTTAGTCAAATGCGTTTTGTTTAAATATACTTTTTCACTTTTTTGGTCTTTTGGAAAATGTTGTTTGTGCTGTATTTAGACCCCTCTAACAAGAAATTTGATTGCATGCACACGTATAAAAATTGCGGTTTTTATCCAACGCAATCATAGGTTTGAACGTTGTTTTCAATTTAGACTTGTTTATATTTTTTCGTATGGGCTTGTATTATATTTGCCTTCGGGTTTATATGATCCGTTCATCCTATTTTGACTCCTCAAAATTCAAGAGTCTATCCTAAATTGAGGTAAATTGTATGGCTTTCCAAATACCGTTTCGATTCCTTACATCACTGAAGGGACATTAATTGTCGAAATACGGATATGGTGTACAAAAACCTTTGCACCCTTTGTTTGCGGTATATCATCTTTTCCGCAAGGTTATTGTTTTCTGTTTAGTATTAAATTTATAATTAAGATCCATTTATTACATCGGTAATCCGTTTATTTAGCAATCGCCAATGGCAGTCAGCAGGGTTTAAGAACATTTGTTGTTCGACCTGTTAGTCAAATGCGTTTTGTTAAAATATACTTTTTCACTTTTTTTGTCTTTTGGAAAATGTTGTTTGTGCTGTATTTAGACCCCTCTAACAAGAAATTTGTTTTGCATGCACACGTATAAAAATTGGCGTTTTTTTCGAGCCTTCGACTTTTGTCGAAAAAGCGAGACATAGCGATCCTACATTCTGTCGTCGGCGTCGTCGTCTTCGTCGTCGTTGTTGTCGTCGTCGGCGGCGTCAACAAATATTCACTCTGTGGTTAAAGTTTTTGAAATTTTAATAACTTTCTTAAACTATTCTGGATTTCTACCAAACTTGGACAGAAGCTTATTTATGATCATAAGATAATATTCAAAAGTAAATTTTGTAAAAAAAAAAAATCCATTTTTTCTGTATTTTACTTATAAATGGACTTAGTTTTTCTGCCAGTTAACATTACATTCACTCTGGTTAAAGTTTTTAAAATGTCAACAACTTTCTTAAACTATCCTGGATTTGTACCAAACTTGGACAGAAGCTTGTTTATGATTAAAAGCTAGTATCTAGAAGGAAATTTGGTTAAAATTTTGTTCCATTTTTTCCGTATTTTACTTATAAATGGACTTAGTTTTTCTTCCAGTTAACATTACATACAGTCTGCAGTTTAAGTTTTTAAAACATTTATTAGATTCATAAACTATCCTGGATTTTTACCAAACTTGGACAGAAGCTACTTACAATCAAAAGATAGTATAGAGAGGAATATTTTTATTAATTGTTTTCCTCATTTTTGTTGAGCCTGCGATTAACAGCAAAAGTAGGCGAGACACTGGGTTCCGCGGAACCCTTACAGATTTTTATCCAACGCAATCATAGATTTGAACGTTGTTTTCAATTTAGACTTGTTTATAAAAGTCTAAAGATTCATTCAGCGATACTGATAGAAGAAAGCTATATACGAATAAGATAAAATAACTATTATTATTATTTCGTACTTCGTAAACATATTTTTTACTTTGTACTTCGTCTAAATATGTATTACTTCGTACTTTGTATACATATGTATTACTATCGTATATCAATACGGTTGGACACATTTTTTGACTTTATATTTTCCTGTTTGTGTAGTATCGTCAATTCTATATATAATTACATTACAATTGAGAGGCTTTCAAAAATTAAATTTTATATCCCAATAAAATGCAAAAATCATGACAGTACGTGCTTCCCGTGACAATGTCACAACAATGCTTTGGAAAACAAACGAAACATTTGATATAACTCGTTCACGGTTGTAGCATAAAAATGCAATTATAAAAATTGAATGCTTCTCTTTATTTTTATTTTTTTGCAGGATGAAGCTTATACTAGTACTAGTTGTAATTATTTTTGCAACACTTGGATGTCATGGTAGACGACAGGGAGGAAGGCGTCCTGGTGGACCAAGACCTGATGGAGGTCGTCCAGGGGGACCAAGACCGGATGGCGGTCGTCCTGGTAGACCCAGACCCGATGATGGCGATTCCAAGGAAACAGGGGATTCTACTGATGCAACAACTGTGAAGACATATGATGGAGACTGTTATCTCAAAGTGTCAGAAGATATGGATCCGGAAGAGTTTCAAGTTGTTCTCAGATTCAATCGACCTATCGACAGTCTTAGTGTAAGTTCGGATTTTAAAGTATGCTAAAGCGTGAATCTGATACATTGTTGTTACTTATATACGAATACGAATACTCAATCAAACAAATCATAGGCCCATAAAGGGCAAAACTTATTATAATGATTCTAAAGAAACATAAGTAAAGAAACATCAATGATAATGCTAGTGATAATATAAATGTAATATAGGCAAGGCTCTGTGTTGAAGGCCGTACTTTGACCTATAATGGTTTACTTTTACAAATAGTGACTTGGATGGAGAGTTGTCTCATTGGCACTCATACCACATCTTCTTTTATCTATATAGCAGTTGTTTTATTGTATAACATTTATTACAAATCAAAGCCACAATATTGCATATTACTTCACATTGACTTGAAAGAAGCCAAATATATCTGCATGTTGTCTGTATCAGAGAGATCAATGCCATGGCAAAAAACGAAAAACGACCAAAAGGCAACATTACACAAAACAAAACATAGAAAACTAAAGACTGAGCAACACGAACCCCACCAAAACGCTGGGGGTGATCTCAGGTGCTCCGGAAGGTTAAGCAGATCCTGCTGCACATGTGTATCTAGATCATTTTTTAAATTTTTTAATTGAAACATTTTTTGTAAGCAAAATCTGAAATAATTTGTCCTTGTTGTTCTAATGCTGAACATTCCATAATAAAATGAAAGTCATCCTCAATTGAATTTGAAGAACAAAAATTCACAAATTCTATTTTATTATCGTTGTCAATCTTTTTATAATGACCCTGCTCAATAGATATTTATAAATGAGCACTAATTCTCAGCTTGCATACCATTCTGGTGAATATAAATTCTATCTGTTCGAGTTTGACTTAACAAACGACACTCATTCATGTCATTGATTCTATAGAAAATTGTAAGAAATGAACATATAATATCAATGTGCAGTGGAGTACGACAAAGTTCTCATTGAACTGCTAAATCAAGACGATTTACTCTGAATTCAAAGTATATACTTATTAAATTTCTTGTATCAATTTTCACAAGGAAATTACTATACTTTTGAACTATAGTTAATACGAATCAATATTTTTTATTTAACTTTTAACGTACCCCAAATTACAGAATGATATAGTAAAGAAGGCTTAATTGTAACAGATTGACTGGTTATTCACTTTGTGTTTCCTTGTCCTATCCCCCGACTTTGCCGTTTGATTGACAATGCATAAAACTGTGTTATATCTTGATTTTTGTTAATAAAAATAATTTTTTGTTACTGGATGTTTAGCTTCGTACACATTTTATGTTTTATTTTCTAATTCGTAAACTCTAAAAATAGATGTACAAGAATTATATAGTGTATATAGCCGTCTTCATGAGAGAGTGTATATAGCCGTCTTCATGAGATAGTGTATATAGCCGTCTTCATGAGATAGTGTATATAGCCGTCTTCATGAGATAGTGTATATAGCCGTCTTCATGAGATAGTGTATATAGCCGTCTTCATAAGATAGTGTATATAGCCGTCTGCATGAGATAGTGTATATAGCCGTCTTCATGAGATAGTGTATATAGCCGTCTTCATGAGATAGTGTATATCGCAGTCTTCATGAGAAAGTGTATATAGCCGTCTTCATGAGATAATGTATATAGCCGTCTTCATGAGATAGTGTATATAGCCGTCTTCATGAGATAGTGTATATAGCCGTCTTCATGAGATAGTGTATATCGCCGTCTTCATGAGATAATGTATATAGCCGTCTGCATGAGATAGTGTATATAGCCGTCTTCATGAGATAGTGTATATAGCCGTCTTCATGATGATTCGTTTTGATTACAATGAGTAAATTAGACGTTAAGGGGTCACTATGATGCAATTGAAATAAATGAACAGTTTTCATGAGTTATGATGGCAGTGTGACATCTCTACAATGGCTACCTTTTTCTTGATTAAACAAACAAACACGTATTCTAGCGAAGTAGAAAGCTGCCTGTCTCGTCTTAATGTACTGCTACTCTCAAATTAACTAAGAGGCGTGTATATGCATTATCTAATTTCCCTTTCAGCTTGGAGGTTTTACCATTAAAGAATCATCCCGTAATAAGAAGTTTGTCTTGACTAATTCTGAATCTATTTCTGCTGGTTCGGTAGAGCTTCAGTACACAGCTGAGTACAATGGCAGACGACGACTCCGTGGTAGATGTGGATGTAACAGAAGACCTGAGACAACAGAAAGTCCAACAACTACAACCGAAACGCCAGACGGTCCACCACCCCCTGCATAAACATTAATGTCTACCAATAACCTGAATACAAATCTAAAACATTAAAATGAATCATCGATAACTAACTGTTCAGTATTTTCTTGATTTGTTACAAGAAAGTCCGTGAGTTATTTCATGCAGTTTCACTTTTGCAGTGCTGCATCAAAATATTTTAGATGAAAGTCGAAATCAAATTTCATTGTTATTTGATCGCAATTGCAGTCATGTTTTTATATTAAAATGAATTATATTGAACAAACGATGTGCATACATTCAAACTTTATTCAATATGATCGCAGAACCGTGAGGTATTGCAATGTTGCATGTTATCCTCTGTTTTCTCGGCAGACATTGTTTTCTAGCTAATACTTCATACGAGAATGTAACTTTTTATTTCTGTTTATCTTGCTTTTTTAACACTATAGTATGTTTTTCTGCTTTGTATCGATCTGATGAGTTAAACCATTTTCAACTGATTTTCATAGTTTGTTCTTATGTTGTGCTGTAACACCACTGTCCCAGGTTAGGGGAGGGTTGAGCGCCCACAAACATGTTTAACCCTGCCACATTCTTTATGTGCCTGTCCCAAGTCAGGAGCCTGTAGTTCAGTGGTTGTCGTTGGTTCATGTCTGTCATATTTGTTTTCCGTAAACTGTTTTGTTATAAATTAGGCCGTTAGTTTTCCCATTTGAATCGTTTCATATTTTTCATGTCGGGGCCTTTTATAGCCGACTATACGGTATGGGTTTTTCTCATTGTTGAAGGCCGTACTGTTGCCTATAATTGCTTACAGCCACTTCATTTGAACTTTGGTGGATAGTTGTCTCATTGGCAATCATACCACATCTCCTTATTGTCATATGTAACATTTAGTGGTGAAATTCTGGCCGTATCCAATGTGTACAAAGGACACCATGGGTTCAAACTAGCCTTAACGACCTTAATGGGCAAACAATGACTTTTCTGTATTGAAAAAAAACAGGTTTATTCTTGTCGGGTACATTTTTCTCCTTTATTTTTGTTTTGAAGTATGTTAATTATTTAGTCAAAAGATGGCTATTGCTGACAGATATTATCTGAAAGTTGAAAATACTGCTGTGAATTTGACCTTTTAACTTTTGCCATCAAAATCAATAGGGGTATGTTTCACACAAGGCGCTTTATCCACAAAACGATTGGTTTATTGCTCGAAATATTAAGCCTTTCTCAATCTTTGAACTTGAATTTTAGCTTAATGATTCAAAAATCAGTAGGGGTCTTGTTCTTTCCAAGTGATGTTTTTTAAGCTGATTGTGGTGAAGGTTGAATGAACATTTGGTTCAAAAGATTTCACCAGGAAACCAACATTTTTGAACAAATTTCAGTGTATCAATTGATGCTGTCACCTTGGTCTAGTTTATACATCAAAATAAATTAGGCTCTTTTTTTTCCAATGGGGCATTATCAAGCCAAGTTTGGTAAACATATTGTCTATGGTTCAAAATGTTTTGTCCGGGAACTGAAAAGTTACCCTATTTGCATTTTTCATATTTTAAGCTCAGTTCGATTTCGTCACAACTCAGTTAGCTCTTTATAATGGGGAAGGTGGTCAAAGATCGGAATTTGCGTAGCATGAGGAATTTAATTTGATATTTCATATGTAAACAAGCTTAACGAATTATGTGAAAACAAAATATTTTCCGAAAAATGTATAACATACATTCATTTAATCGGTATTGATTGATTTGTCTTTAATGACTATTTTACAGACATTCTTGATTTTAAATATTTTTTGGACTGATTTCCTTTGTGGGTTTTAGTAAAAAAAAATTGTATTCAACTGGTTGAGATATCAGGTGTCATAATCGTTTGGAATTGAAACGCAGCACAGAATCAAGAGCTGACAAAACTAGTTTGATTTAAATGTATGTCACCGATTTAATTGCGCAGAACAGTTGTGTCTGGAATCATGTTCATTTGATTCTAAAGGATGAGAGCCAAATACGTAAAACAAATAGAAAGGCATCAGCACAAAAAACATAAACATAACAGCTTTTTCATCTTTGCCTAAGGAAGTTTAACCTTAGTTTTCGTGCAATAACATAATTTATAAACTAAAAAATTTACAATAAGCCAGAAACATGATTGTTTATGTGCCATAACCCATATCAGGAACCTCCAGTTTAAGCAGTGATAATTGTTCGTTAATTCCGGATCATTAAATCACTGCAGCCATCCCCAGCTTGTTAGACTTATTCATTCAGGAGATTAGCACGAATAGTAAACCATCAAATCTCAGATAAATTTTTAAGATGGGGGAAAAACTTTACTTGGACTTCGTGTTGAACTTAGTTCCGTTTGTTATAGAGTTTAGTCAATTCTATTTTCATCTAAAAACGTTTAGGGTTCGTTCTTTTTTGCAATTTTTGGTTGTTTATTTGCTCATATATTGTTTCATTGAATAACGTTGTTAGTCGTTTGGATATGTAGTTTGTTTTAGTCAAATATTTCGCCCAGTGATCAAGCCTGCTTACATGGATAATGGAAGTATTGAAATAAATCTTAAATTTACTTTCTTTCGAGAACATTTTGGTGCGTTAGTTTGTTTGAACTTTTTGCCAGTTTATGCTCAACTATTGTTTCCTTTAGATATGTTGTATAAATGCGTATTTGTTTGGATATATTGCTGGATTTTGGTCATATCTTTCGACCAGTGACCATGTGCTTTCATGGGAGACGGAGGTATTGGCATAAATCCGTAATTTTATTTTCAATTTAATCGCGTTGTGATGCGTTGTTGTTTAGAATGTTTGGATTGGTTTTGGTTTCAACTTGTTTCATCTACTTCGTTGTGGTGCAGTTTTGTTTAGATCTAATGTCGGTTTTTAGTTATATCTTTTGTTAATTACAACGGTTTTGCTCGATTGGCGAGATCATTACGGGTTCCCTGTATCCTGCATTTGATCAAAGACGTATATATATAGATGAAATATTGAACGAGTATCATCTTGTAGTATTCATGTCACTGAACGCTGAAGATTGTTGAATCTTTACCTTTCGACTTCCTTCTCTGCGTTTTTCGGTGCATATGGAACGCGAAACCGAATGTAGTTCAAACTATTTTTATTGAATTTCCGGTTGATTCCATCGATTCCAAACGTCCAGAACTAGCAAATGGAGATCCACACATGTTTTCCATGGTAAACGGAGGTATTGACATATATCCGTATATAGTCTTATTTTCATTTTAGAACGTTGGGAGGAGTTTTTTTTTTTTTTTTGTCCAATCTAGTTTCATTTGGGTACGTTGTGATGTGTTTTAGTTTGGATATGTTGATGGCTTCAGTCACATTTTTCGTACATGGATGAATCTGATGGTGAGAAGGACATTCCGAAATAGTTTCTTCCTATGCCTTTATTTTCAGTGTTGATTACAAACTGCACTGTTCATGATAGATTCATAACACACCATGATCAATATAATATTGTTGTTGGAGGAGCGACTAACAAAAACAGTTCTCCTCGTTTAGTTTTTTTTTTTTTTTCATCTAGCTTAACTTTATAATACATCATTATAAAATAAAACCACCTTTTAAATCAAGATCCTATCATCACGGCAGTAAATAAGATCCAGGAAGTTTGCCGAGAACTACATTTAAGCGACAACCTGTGGTTTCCGACTAAACCTTGTTATTATGTAAAAAGAACAAATTTACTCAACAAACACTTGAATTGAATTACAGTATGAAGTTTCTTTCGGTTAATATCTTAATAATTTTTACTGTTTTGTGTGTATGTGATGGAAGAAGGACACGAAGGTGGTGGCTAGGACGATGGGGTGGTCCACCGAGGATACCAATTTGTCATGCATATCCAATTCATAGAACAACCACGTCAATGTATTGGAATTGCTGTTATCTTTCGATAACTGAACCAGCTGATGAAAACGAGCTTACATTAGTTCTAGATTTCAACCAACCTATTGTAGAACTTGGCGTAAGTTTATAAATTTAATAGTATAATTATTTGTCCCTGGAAATTTAAAGTAAATACTGATATTTCCACAGACATCCCGTTATATAGAAGTTGGTGTATATTGTTCTTCTTCTGAGCGACAGATAATAAGAACATTAATAAACAAATTTTAAGCACAACAAAAGGGACCAAAACCCAAACAAATAGGGCCAATTTCTACTTAAACTTATTTTAAACCGGGACCAATTTCTGAAAGTCTTTCGTTCTTTACCAATAATCAAGTGTTTATTTTATTTTCATTATCATAGTACATGTATATAAATAACACAAAGCTGAGAGGGTGATAGAGCAATTGTTTACTCCTAGAAAACATTGTCAACCGATGCGAAACCGAGTTGTATCCATCTGCTCTATAACACTCTCATCTATGTGGTATGTAATGTATTATATAATTGTCATTGAAATTTTAAATTGAAAGTAATAAACTTTATAACGTCATGTACATAGCGACGTTGCAGTCATAAGGAAAGTAACTAACGTGAAGCAAGATGTAATTTTTTATGTTGACAGTCTATGTCTATGAAAAAGGCATGTGGCAGAAACTTAGATCTTGGACATTGTCTTTAAATCTAATTCCATTATTCTTTCGCTTCAAGATGTAAGCGAACGAAATCCGTGTTTAATAAAGCGCATAAACTATGACAAGCCGTTCTCGTCAAAACTATGTTTAAACCATTTTTAAAAAAATTTACACACTGAGAATTAAAAATTAAAAACACACTGAGATTAATAAACCTAAAAACACACACTGATAATTAAAATTACATACTGAGATTTCATAAAAACGCATTGAGATTACAAAAAAATGAAAAAACACACACTGAGAAATGAAAATTACACACTAAGAATTGAAAATTACACAATGAGATTTCAAAAAGACACACTGAGATGAAATAAACTGAAAAACACACACTGAGAATTTGAAATTACACACTGAGAATTTAAAATTACACACTGAGATTTGTGCGCTCTTTTTATGCGCACATATAATTAGCATACTTAATCTGAATCTATTACAAGCTTAAAACAACTTGGGGACAGAACTCGTTAGTCCTTCAATTTGGCGCTAAATGTTATATAAAAAACATAAAAAATACAACGTATAGAAAAACTACGTTATTAAAGACCAATAGAACAAGAAAAATACCCACTTACTCTCATTACAAAATATAACCAAATGGTGAAAAACTTTATTAAAATTATAAGAAAACATTGGAACAATCTGCAAAAATACAAACAATGCAGTGAATTTTTTTTCCAAGTGCCTATTATAGCATATATACGTAACAAAAATATAAAAGATTACCTTGCGAAATCAGGGTAACAGGTGAAAGGCTTTTGAAAAGATACCATGCTTAAACAGTTTTAAGCAAAAAATCCCGATATACTGTTAGTAATAATCTGAATTATAGGCAACAAACTTATGAATATGAGTTAGCAAAAAAAGTTGTTAAGTCTTGAAATTTATTACGAATGTTGGTTGTAGGAACCTCATTTCATTATAATGACAAGAGTTCGGGAGACCAAGATATTAATCTGCTGAATTATTCATCTCGTGTATATTCATTAGTAATTTGCATATTAATCTCAGTGTGTATTTTTGAAATCTCATTGTGTAATTAACAATTCTCAGTGTGTGTTTTTCAATTTATTTCATCTCAGTGTGTCTTTTTAAAATCTCAGTGTGTAATTTTAAATTCTCAGTGTGTGTTTTTCATTTTTTTAAATCTCAGTGTGTAGTTTCGATTTCTCAGTGTGTTATTTTAGGTTCTTAAATCTCAGTGTGATTTTTTAAATCTCAATGTGTAATTTTATCGAAAAAATGGTTTAAACATAGTTTTGACGAGAACGGCTTGCCATAATAAACGATCAAACGTCTCTGAAATACATCCACTTCATTTGAACTTTGGTGGATAGTTGTCTCATTGGCAATCGTACCACATCTCCTTATTTTTATAATAATATATAAGCCACGGAGTAGAATGTCTTCCTTGTATTAACCAATCAAAATTTGGCATTTTAACTTGAAGTATAATATTAAGTTCACATGTGTACTTCTAGATCGAAACAACTTTCCGAGCTTATAACCAAATTATAAATGCCATACGATGGCATAAAACTGAAGTTTTTACAGATTTTTAAAAAAATTGAATAATTATGATTTTGAATCCGAATGAAATCATTAAATGAACTAATTTGTATCGGAAAGACAATAAACATAGTTACAGAACGTCCTTCTTGTATATTTAAAAAAAAATCATAATTACTCAATTATATATTATTATAAAAATAAGGAGATGTGGTACGATTGCCAATGAGACAACTATCCACCAAAGTTCAAATGAAGTGGATGTATTTCATGTACAAACGATTATGGCTGCATCCATTAAAATACATTTGATAAAATTTTTGATTTCAGTATACTTTATACTGACTTCAAACATCGTATTTGGAAAATATGTTTTAGATATGCGAGACAACCAATCCTATCAAACCGGCGTCGCAAAAGCAAAACTTTCAATTTTAAAATTTACAGGTTTGATTGATTGTTTGTTTGTTTGTTTGTCTAACATTCAGTGACAAATATTTCTCGCATCAAGACAAGAACAAATGAACAACAAACAATGAGAGGGTTGACGAGGATGAGAGCATTAATTTCAACCTCAACTTGAAAAGGAGAGCATTTTTTTACAGAGTAATAAAATGGACCTTTCAACATGGATTCCTGACAGAGTTGTTTCAAGGGTTCTTTAACGCAAAGAGGGCGTTGCCCTCTCCCAACAGGAGGTATCGGATTTTTACTGGAAGTGGTTGCGTATTTATACATCACCCGGGCAAATCGGATAATCCTTTTAAGCATGGCATTGTACTCAAGATGGAAAGTCTAGGGATAACCATATTTCTATTCCCAATGGGTTTTTTTCGAACGAGAAGAAATAAACCATAAATTTAGCAAGTATACATTGCAAATTGTTATTGTCTATAAAAAATTCAGATTTGTGAAATTGTTATTTCATGATAGTACTTTCCAATGCGCATTACATAAATACATTTGAATGAAAAGGCAAACATTTATATTTACTTATCAGTATTTAAATTAAAACACAAATAACTGACAAATTCATAACCACCTCTTAATATAAAGTTAGAAGATGTGGTATAATTACCAATGAGACAACTCTCCACCAGAGACCAAATGACATAGAAGTTAACAACTATAGGTCACCGTAGGTCATTTAACAATGAACAAAACCCATACTTAAGCATTTGTACAGATTCGATTTTATTAAAATTAGCATCAATATAAAAATAAGGAGATGTGGTATGATTGCCAATGAGACAACTATCCACCAGAGTTCAAATGAAGTGAATGTAAGCAATTATAGGCAACCGTACGGCATTCAACAATGAGAAAAACAAATATAACAGACAACCACTGAACTATAGTCTCCTGACTTGGGACAGGACATGTATATTTACTTTATACGTTGAAAGGGTTTGCCAAGATGCATAAGTATATATTATAACTGGATAAACTTTGAAGCCTACCTCATATGAATAAAGGTACATGACGGTGCAAAGAGGAGCACAGTTGATTACCATAGGAATGTCAAGTGTGTGTTGACAACCATGTTATGAATGGTAACAACAGTGGTGTCAATAAAAAAAAGTAAAGCATCATGTCAGTTTCACAGTTCTGACCTCTTGTTTGTTTTTTTTACCTGTCCGTTCCTAAAACAAGATATTTGTATCAACCTTGGAAAATTTAGTGAAACAAAGTTGGACTTATAAGTCTGAAGTTAAAAAAGGAATTTTAATGAAACAGAATTGGACTTATTAGTCTGAAGTTAAAAAAAAAAAGGAGGTACACGTCAATAAGTATCTTTTTTAGTAAGATCCGCCCAATATAAAAACACGTGATATAAATTGACATATCAAAGCATTTGAATAATACTATATATTATGTTGTAAAAGTCTTTAGTTATAGTATTCTTTTATTTATGAATAGAAGTTTTGTTTTAAACAACTTTATATACGTGATCGTTTTTTTTTTTTTTTTTGCCATAAAAATGGCACTGGCGATATGATAAAATCTGTTTATGCTGCTCTTTGTAAAGCTTTATGGCATAGATAAATATACAATAGATCGCCAAACATATAACAAGTCAGTTAAGGATATAATAGTTATGATGCTGTGTCAATTAACTATTTTTATGCATTTGAGCTCAAGTAATGAACTTCATTTTTTAAAATCCCAATGTACTAATGGTGTTTAATTTGTTCTTTTATTTAAGGTGGCAGGTTTTTAACAGCAGAAGGTCAATTGTACTTATACTGTTTGTTCTTTTATCCAAGGTTCTAGGTTTTAAACTCAATTGTACTAATGGTATTTTGTTCTATTATTTAAGGTGCCAGGTTTTATCACCAAAAGGTCAGTTTGCAGTGAGAAGTTCTTTTTATCCAATACGAGACCACTACATGCTGGTTATATTGAAATTCCGTATAAAGCAGAGTACTATGAGAATGAACACCATCCAATTGACGGAAACTGTAGCTATAAATACAGCTGGAGTCATCAACCGTCAACCATTTCACCAACATCGGGAGAACGAAAAGATGGAGAGATAAGCACAGCACAAGTTCAGACAACAACGAATATTCAAACAACACAATACAGATCAACAGCTACCGAAACTGAAACATCAACAGAATATAACCGACTTACAGTAGCCACAATACCTTCTTTAACTATGACAACAACTACAACATTACCATCAACAACAACGACAATCGTGCCTCCAACAACAACAACAACCGTTCCCCCAATAACAAAGACAACCGTTCTCCAAACAACAACGACAACCGTTCTCCCAACAACGACAACCGTTCCCCCAACAACAACGACAACCGTTCCCCCAACAACAACGACAACCGTTCCCCCAACAACAACGACAACCGTACCCCCAACGACAACTACAACTGTACCCCCAACAACTACAACTGTAACCCCAACGACAACCAATGGAAAACCACCACCACCGAATTAAACTTGTATTTTGATCAATAAATTTAGGCTGATTTGCCTATATAGTTAAACATTACAAACTTTATACATATATTAGTGTAGTAAAAGACTAACAAACTCGTTTAAACTCTGCTGTTTTCTGAAAAAATTTAGTAAATTTAGTGTTTATTATATTTATTTTACATAGTAGTGGATTTTTCTTTAACTTAAATTGTTTCAGTAATTAAAATATACTTGTGACGTTTTTGGAAAATGACGCTGTCAAAGCGTCAATTTTACTATACCATTGACAAGATGTCATTTTATCGCTGCCAAGCCGCCTTCCGAACTTGGTTCCGTATTTTACATACCTATGTACTGTACAGAATTTCATTTTTAATGAGCTATCCCTTTGGTATATTTTTCATATTTATATGAGCTTTTGCTCTTATGTGCATGTCTTTACAATCCATAAAAAAATCAGAATATAAATAGATCCGTATTGTTATGGTTTTGGACTTTTTACATACCAATGATAACAAATCGCTATCGGTAGACAAAATAGTTCTTGAAAGAATGTCAACCTTTCTTGTCAGTTGAACTGTAAAATCAATCAACAAATAATAATCGGAATCATCTTGAAATCATACGAAAGATAATGGTCTTTATCAAGATTTAAGAAGTTTTAAAGAATCGAAAATTAGTAATACGGTTATATCCACGCGGTGCGTATGTATTTTGTTTAAAAAGTTACTGCTGCAGACATAATATAGGTCAAATATCGCAGGGGTTAGTTCAATTAAAGAACAAAATGGCGATATTTGCAGAAGTTTTACTGTCAAAAAGCCTTTATTTCTTTCTGGATTTTTTTCACTTTAAAAAGAATTAAAAGATGCAGAAACTTTATGAAAGGAGTAGGCAGTGCTCAATAAATCATACCAAAAGTATTTAATGAAAGTTTTACCCTTTCCCTGACAACGTGGTCTCGTCCATTTTTGAAACGTCTACGATTATTTCATTACTTTTTTGAGTTAACAACTAAGCTATTGGACCTGTATTGTTTTGAGAAAAGCATTCCCGTTGTCCAGGTGTTACTTACAAGCCCGTATTTTACGATTACTTGCATCGCTATTTTCAAAATCGGATACGAAAATTTCTTGAAAATAAATAAAAAATATTTAGATTTGCCATCCACTTTTCAATAACTATTAATTAAATATTATTTTAAAATCAATGTTAACAGTGAATCGCTTGGATAAGGAATAGCATTTAATGATTCCTAGAGATACAGCAAAAAATATGTAAACCGGAAGTTGTGAAGGGAGACAATTTCAGTGGGGAAAAGTGCTAAAACAAGTATTGTCAAATCTTGTAAAATATTTCTGGTGGCAATAATTCACATATTCATAAAATTACCAAACACAACTTTTAAATGTAGTTGTAATGTTTCAATTGGCAAACATTTATTTATTGATAATCCACCTTAAATAATAAAAAAAAAACTCTTTAAAAAAACTATTTCTATCATATTCATCTTGGAATATGATCAAATATGTTAGCCTTTTTTAAGCATGTCTTTAATAACATTTCAGTACTTATGGAAAGAGTTATTCTATTTCTTCCTTTGATATTAAAAGATATACTAATTGTAATTGCAAAATTGTAATTTGATAAATTTAAATAAAAATGAATGAAGAAATTCCAATTTTGTCATTGAAAACCTTCTTAAATATGTGTAAGTAAATTATGAAGCTGTAAAGGATATATAACTAGTTTATAAGTCAAACAACTGAAAGTGAGAAAAAAAGGTATACCTAATGTGCTACATTTGGGGACGGGTGGTAATAAAATCAAATTATTTAAGTTATCTAGGCATTTTAATTTTTAAAGTTTAATTAATAATTAAAATGTCACTTATTTGCATTTCTGATAATGCACATGGCACATGTATAAAAACTCCAGGTCTTTGTCTATTTAATATAACATAACTAACATGGTAGTTATAAATAAATGTAACATCAAGTCACAAACACGAAACATAAGGTGAATCAATCTTAAATCGGGCGCTAATACCACAGCGCTATAAATAAATTCCTGGGGAGAAAACTGGATTGTATTGCTTTCAGAGTAATATAATACACCTTGCCTAAGAAAAAGGTCTAGCTAGGTCCTTATAAAAAAATGAGGCTATAATGATGTAAATTACCATATTTACATTACAGCTGCATTTTTTGCATTTGAACCGGTTTAGTTCATTGATGAGGTCTGGAAAGTGACTCATAACTGCCAACAGCCACATTATTTAGACTCTGGTGGACAGTTATCAGACTGTTATCTCATTTGCAATCATGTAACCACATCTCCTTATTTTAGTACAGGTTAATTATTTGAAATAAATGACTCACAAACATTAAATCATTTGAAAAAAAATAATTCTGCAATAATTTATGTTGTCATTTAAAGATTTCAGTTTATATATATATATATATATATATATATATATATATATATATATATCAACAATGAAATTTGGTTGTATAAATGGTGTCACTATATTTGTAATTGTCAAACTAGTATAACAATACTATTGTCTAAATCTACAGAATTTGACCATCCTTTAAGTAACAGAAATAACAATGTCACTAAGTCACTTGTAACTTATCTCTTAAATAAGGACTATGTGGGGTATAAGAGCTTGCTTACTGCAGGCTCTTCATCATCATTTTGTTAAATAATTCTACAAAGAAGGGGATAGTCTGTTAATGTATCCTTGACTAAGAATAATGAAATTGCAAGAAACAAATCCACATATTACTTTGGATATTGTAGATCGTTCAGGTAGTCTTGAGCTATTTCTTTATACAAAAGAAACAACCAGTAGTCATCTTCACTTCACACACATATATATATATATATATATATATCTTGACAAACAAATAAAAAAAGCCATAGACATTGAAAACAATTCATATCTATTCTATTGTCAGTCAGCCTACCTACCATGAACTGAAAAGTCTCCTAAGAGTCAGTAGGTAAATTATGTGAAAATCAAGACTTGCATCAAAAATATCCCAACATTAGAGACAATGGCGTCATTTTTCCTCAGAGCTTTCAGCTCTTTGATTATTACTTTTCAACTTCAATAGAGTAAAAAGTATAGGAATAAATTCGCAAAAAAATGAGTTGTGTGGATGAAATAACCGGTAAGTATCCTGTAGATTACTAGTAAATGACCGATTATGGACAGGATTTATTTACAAAGTCAAGTGTTGATGCATTGGAGTTAAACTATTGCCGTGACGTCAGCCTATTCATTTACCGTGGTTTCTTTTTCTTTACATCCCTACTCCTTTGTTCTAACAAGGATGATCTGAGTAGGATCACCCCTACCAGATCACCCTACCTTGAGTGTCTTTGTTCTGCATGCTTTCTTTTGTTCTGTAACATTTTGGCGGGAATGTCGAACACACAATAAAACTTAGAAATATTCAAGTGGAATAAAGACTAACTTTCAAAATTGATGTAGAAAAAATCCACTAAATTTGTAGTGTTTATGCGGAAAATCCAACTCAAGACCTTAACCATATGAAGCCACGATTCATAGCCCTACACCAGGACGACTGGATACAAACTCACTGTTAATTTAACATATTTAAACATTGTATCCGGGGCTCATAGAGGGTATATAGTAATATATAAAGTATATTATAATTATTGTATGGCATTCTGAACTAGATGTTAAGAAGCGTAAATGTTTTTTCATATAGTCTAGAAGAGCTGGGATGTAAAATAGTTATCCCACTCGGACTTGGTGTGTCAGTGTAAGATCACCCTCAGGCCTCCCGATCTGTCCTAAATCTATCGCTGAAATGGACTCACCAAATTTTAGAATATAGCAAAGTGCCCTCGGCCAATGAAATTGTAGGATTTGATGTCTCTTAATTGTGAAGAATGAATTTAGAACATACTCATCCATTCTCGTCCAATGGAAAATCAGCATTTTCCCTTCTATTGTTCATAGTACATGGCTTTCCATGCACTATAAAATGCTACACATGAATGACCTTTCATTGTAGATTAATTATGAAAGTGAACTCTTTAAATTTGCACTAACGAAGTGTACAACCCCCAAGTCACTGTTCAAGGAAAAAGAGCAAAAGAAAAACTCATGAGTACTGTTGTTTGTCTAATTACCCGGTATTATATATGAAATCAGGAGAATAGAACTACAAAAGCATTTTAAGTTTTGATTTCAACATTGTAAATGTTTTTTAATGGTACATATATAGACCCCCACCCAGAAAAAACAAAAAATGAAAAGGGGACAACGGCGTTGGTAGAATACATGAATTTTTAATCTAATTTTTATACCAGACCTAAAACTCAATGTTTTAAGAAAAATAAAAGGAAGTTTATGAAAAAAAACCCAATACATTCGTCAATACAAAAAAAACAAGCACCTGATGTTAACTTGATTGTAAATCAAATCTATTGATGAAGTTTTGTCCTTATTCAAAAATTATACAATTTTAGAAAAGCTGATTTATATAATATTTTGTGCTTTTAAAATGAAGGAATTTTAGATATATGAGATTAAATTGTACCTGAAGCAGAAGAAATCTCCATTTTTTAATAATTTATCCTTTTATGTTATATCAACACTATCTCATTGCTCTTTCATTCCATCTGTTGAAATAACCATTAAATGATTTACATCCCTTTTATTAAACATATGTTAACACTTAAAGTGAGCTAATATCAAAGTTTGATTATTAAAATGAGAGGCTAATTTTGTTATGTCACTCGAAGGTGTGAATATGTTCTAAATTGGTCAGACAATACTTGGTCATGTTTTATGAACATTTAAAACCTTCGGCTACGCCTCGGGCTTTAAATATTCATAAAACACGACCAAGTATTATCAAACCTATAAATATACATATTCAATTGTTTCTTTTGTGTGCCTGATTTCATTAAGTTTGAATTGGCTAATTTACTGATTTCTGTTCACTAATGGAATTAATTTAAAAACTTACCTTTAACTTTTGTAATTTTTATATGCCTTCACTGTCTGACATCAACACATCGACGAAACCTCTCGGCTACCAATGGGTTGCAATTAAGATGTATATTTTTTATATATGTTACAGGTATTTTCTAAATTTAGGCATTTTGTAAAATGACTGAATTTTCAGGCAATTAATAAAATGCCTAACCTTGACAGGCATTATATAAAATGACTAAAAATACCTAGTCATTTTGTAA